GTACTGGATCCTACAGAGAGAAAAGCACAGATGTGTCTTCCAGGGGAGGGACACAAGGAGTCCTTGGGCCCTTTGGCTGCAGCACAGGCTGTGGAATCCTCTGCAGCTCAGCCTGGCCCTGGTGGGGACACTGAGCCATGGCTGCACTCTCCTCTCCAGTGACACATTGCTGGAGTCAGACCAAACTCACACTGCAAGCTGCATTTAGAAAATGCTGAGAAGTATTTCAGCTCCAAGGCTGCCAGTTCTGCCTGTGCAATCTAGGCAAGGAAATGCCAGTCAGCACGTTTTCCCTGAGCTGTGTCACACAGGAGCAATCCCAAGGAAGGCAGGAATGCACAGTACCTGCTGCAGTGTCACAGGGATAAAAATAACTGCTTTTAAGGGTAAATACCCTTATAATGCAAGAGGTGCCAAAATGATCTTCAGAGGAGGTACTTTTGAAAATTAAATATATATATTAAATATAAATACATCTTGAGCTTTATTTTTCTTCTTCCCCATTTGTAGTAGTCTCGTACTTACTGTTTGCTAAACGTTCCTCTGGGTCTGAGGGTGTTGTAGGCTGCGAACAGAACATTTTTCTTTGCAGTTTCTCAGCCAGATGCAGTCAAAGCATCACCTATGTACATATGTACATCCATGAGCAATGTGTGTCTCCACTGCAGTTACAGAGAGGAAAAAAAAGAAAATGGCATTTTTTTTCCAAAATGGAATAACCAGTAAATATTTCACAACCCCATAAATAAAAAATGATTGATCTGATATTTTAAAAACATATTTCCCTTTGGGCTCTGACTAAGTGTGAGAAAGTTCAGGCTGAGAGGGAGTTTATTTGGAAAAGCAGTGAAAGGTTAGAAGCAGGGATGTGGGCTGGAATAGCCTTGCAAATGTTAACTGTGGAGGCACAGGGCTAACACCTTGCATGTGCACAAATGTTTGGAGGGCTGCGAATTCAAACCATGAAATTAATATAGTCAAAATGGATGTTTTCTTGCCCACATGTTACTCCTACAGGATATGGTGTTAGTAATGTTCTGACAGGGATGGGAAGATGGAGGTGGTTTGCTAGTGTTAATTTAAGGTTAAGGAAGAACCTTTAGCATCTCTGTTTCTTGATTAATTTAAATATTCAAATTTGCAATCCTCATGTTTTCTGAAAGTAAGTTTTAGCTTTTGATTTCCTTTTACTTTTTTTGGACGTACCAGTGCAAAAACTGGGGAGTTCACTGTTGTGCTTACTAACACCTTACACAATGAAAAGCCTGATGTAAATGGTGTGTGTGCATACCCACGGTGAACCATTAGTCATTTACAACTCTGTGATTCATTTTTCCAATGTCCTTATTTAATAATTCTCCTGCTCCTTGGGAAGAGCTATAAAAATGGATTTTATTTTCCTAATGTGTTTGCATTTTAAGTAGGTGAAGTCTCTTTAGATTCCCATTTACCAAACATGGAGATGAATATGTTCATCTTCACATTTAGATGACCAATGGGCTGAGATCAAGAATGATAAATTTTGGTGCAAGAGGAGGAATTAAGAACATAATGAGGAACTTAGTTCTGGGATCTACAGCATAAAGAAATTTTGAGCTTAAGGCCCAGATATTTATCCCAAGTTATGGGAAGGTTTAGGTTGGATCTCAGGGAAAGGTTCTTCCCCCAGAGGGTGGTTGGCACTGACCAGGCTCCCCAGGGCAGTGGGCACAGCCCCAAGGCTGCCAGAGCTCCAGGAGGGTTTGGACAACGCTCTGAGGGACAGGGTGGGATTGTTGAGGTGTCTGTGCAGGGCCAGGGGTTGGGCTGGATGGTCCTTGTGGGTCCCTCCCAGCTCAGGACATTGTGTGGTCTGTCCCTCAGAGCTGGAGCTGTTGCCTGTCCCAGAGCCCAGCTCCTGTGCAGCTCCAGGGCCGGGTCACTCATTCCCCCTGGAGCAGGGCTGCTTGGCCAGGTGCAGTGCTGTCCTTTGCCCCCAACCACAGCTTCCTGCTGTCTTGCTCTGGGTACACTGCAGGACTGCAATGGGAGAGTTCATCAGTGCAATTTCCCAGGTTTTCTGGAACATGAGAGTTCCATTTGCCTTTCTCTCTCTCTTAGTCCTGACCCAGCTTTCACGTAACAGCACCAACCTCTTGTCCGAGGGGGGTGAAATCGGAAACAGTTCCTGGACCTGTTGTAGGGTAAATTTGAAGTTGGTCTTCTGACATAACTGTCACACTGAGGGTTCTTTTGGGATGTTCTCACTTGGGTATCCTGCCCAGTGTCTCGCCTGAGATGTGCTCAGAACATCACACACAATGGAGGGTTTAACGTTCCTGCAAGTCCTGCAGTTCCATAGCTCTGGAGAGAAGCAGTTTCTCTGTGTATAGTTTTAAACTGAGGTTTTAGAAGAGGAGGTTTTCAGGTTGTCTAGAATTCTGTGATCTTCCCATGATCTTATACAAAAAATTGCTAATGTACCCACGAAAATTAAATTCCTGCCCCTTTTCTAGGTACTGACCAAATAGACCATGTTTACAGAAATCTGGATGCAAACAAATCTCTTGCAGAGTTCCTAGGGAAGAAAATTGATGAAGAAATATATTTATTCCAATAAAAAGAAGTATCAGTTTATCCTGAAGATGCCAGGAGAGTTTTACTGAAGGCAGAAATAGATCCCCCCACTGTCCAGTGAGGGATACACCTTCCATCTTCCAACGTCCGTTGAAATTTAGCAACAGAAAAGGTGTATAAACAGCAATGCCATTAATTATTCCAAATTCTTCTTTCAGCCTGACCCTTTTTCTGTTGAGCTGCTTGTTGACATCTCAGCAATGTTGAACCTGAGTAGCACACAACAAACCCAAACACTGCGAGTATTTTAAGAATTTAAGTTCTCAGTATTTTGATTTCTAAGGATCTTCATAACCAGGAAAGGCAGAGGGATACAAGGATCACCTTCCTGACACCATTTCCTTTCAGTGGACAGGTTGGAGTTCTCAATTTCCTTGAGTGATTGCAGAGAGGAGGGTTCTGCATCCCCCCAGCCTTGTTTTAATCTCATTTTGTTCTGTAAGAAGTTCTATGGAGTCAGGATCTCTTCTCCAGCGCTGCTCAGTCATTTAACTAGCACTTTTCCTTTCCACTTGGGAAAACAGGCACTGATTCCCATCTTTAAATCACAGTTCTAGTCATGGACAAGTGAGTAAGAAAAAGGAGAGATGAGGTTTGCTTTTCTTTTCTGAAGTTCTCTGTGCTACATCATTTGATCTGACCAATTGTGGGGTACATAAGTATTGTGTTCCCATCCAAACCAGTTTGATTCCAGAAGGGGGTTATGGTGAAATGGCCCTTATTGTGTGTTATGTAGAGCTCCACAGTGTGGGCTGGATGGAGTTTTTCACTTGAGATGGAGATTCAGATCCTTATGGAAATAACAAATAAATCTCCCTTCATTGACAGGTTATGTAGGTACAGATACACCTATTTAATTATGCAAGGTGAGGTACTTCATTGTCAAATTGCTGGTAGTAGCACCTTATCATACCCATGTCACCATTCTTTATCTTATACTTAGTTACAAATAGAACAAAAAAGAATCCAACCCTGCCCCAAAGGGACACCAGAATGAGGAATTATGAAACAGGATCTGCTGGTGTCAGTTATATTGTCTGGTGTGTCTGAATTTTGTCATGGAGCCTGAATATCCTGGTTCATGGTCTGCTTTGGGGCATAATTGTAAAACACTATAATATTTTTGCTTTAAATTGCCGATGTTTGCTGTCTGTTTGGATTCAACTTGAGCATCCTTTTAACTGAGGGAGAAGGAAATTCATTGGTGTGTAGCATCCTGAGAACGCCCAGAAGTCCTTTCTCTCTCGACATCCAGTGAGTAGTGCCTAAAACACCTTTTCCCCAAAAAGTCTTTTTAAAAACATTCTAGAGTTTGTGACCATCAGGCTGTTCTGAACAAGGGTTCTGTCTGTCAGAAATTAAATCAGGATATTCCCCTCCATAGGGAAGTTCCTGGTAGTCTGGCATTAAGTTTCCAAACCTGGTGGGATTACATTTAAACCTCCTTTGTGATACGTTCAGCTGACATGTGGTTTTGATAAAGTATCACAGAATTTATAGCATTCTCTGGCCACTGACTTGAAAGCAGCTTAAAAATCACTGTGAAGTGAAATCAGCCCCATAGCTGCTGATGCACCTGCAGCAGCTCTTCCCAGGAGCTGGGCCTGGCTCTAGAATACTTCAGGGAGAAACCAAGCACCAGCCTGTGGCTCCAAGCCCTCTCACTGCCATTTAGACCCTGGCCAGCTGGAAGGTGAGCTAACACCTTGCACCAGTTTTTTGGTAGTTTCAGGGGATGTGACCCCTCTGTGAGGGTTTGGATTACCTTAATCTTGGTTTGGCAGTTTGGATCCTGGGGATCCCCCTATGGGAAGCACCATGTTAAGCCAGCATGTTCCTCAGTGTCTCCTGTGTTCTGAGCAAGGCCAAATGTTTGTGGGAAGGAAGTAAATGATTGTGAAATGAATAGTTTGCCCACGGGGAAAATTTTTTCCCAACCCTCACTTAGGAGCTGGCTTGTGCCTTTGTGTGTGAGGGTTTCTGTCCTTTCCAGATTTCTGGATTTTATTACTATTTAATCCTTACTGACGTAACTCTGGATACTTTAATCCTCTTAAGAGGTTGCTGCTGACTTTGGGCTCGGTCCTGCTCCCTTTTCAAGGACTTTTGCCATGAGACACCTTTAAGCTGAGCTCTGATGTAAATTGCAACTGATTTTACTGGCAACTCCAGCCTTGGTTGTAAAATGCAGTTGTGAAGCTGTAACCTCTGTGCAAGGCACAGTTGGAGGGGGAGGAGGTGGAGGTCTGTGTCTGTCTGCAGACCTGCATTCTGCCCCTCCTCACTGCCAGTCCAGGGTCTAGAAAGAATCCCCCAAAGGTGCCAAAGGCTTAGGCCAAAGGAATTGTCCGTGAACCTGCGCGGGGAATGTCCTGCCAGCTTAGGAAGACATAAATGTGTTCCTTTCCATCTAGGTGCCCCTCTGGCTGCGGAAAGGGAGAAGAAGCCTCTCTCCAGAGCTGTCTTTGTGCTGCCCTGGGTGGAATCCACAGAAACAAGTGAGGGTCCCAGACGTTTTTTCTCCCTGATGTGTTGTAAGGAAGCAGTAGCTGCACTCTGAGTCTTCTGGGGAGGCTGCTCAGGTGGTGTGTTCTCTAGACACAGCTTGGAAAGGTGTTTCCCAGTGGGAAACATGCAGTATGTTCCTCAGAAAATGCCAGCCTTTCCTGTTTCTTTGCATCAGGTGGATTAGTCATGGTCACTGGCTCTTCCTGAAGTGTTGGTGTTGCTTGTGGTTCCCTTCAGTGAGGCAGGAAACGTGGTGCTTTTTCCAGGTACTGCCACACAGCCATTCCCCTGCTCCAGCCCTCTGGGTTTGCCACCAGCAGGACTCCCAAGGGCTCCAGCATCTGCTAGCAGATTTTCAGGAAACAGTCAAGGAATGTGAAACTGAGTGTCAGAGCATCTCATGGCCTGTCCTGTAATCCACGGGCTGAGGCTGGAGGGATGATGCTGCTGCTTCGTGGTCACTTCAGCCTCACTCAGAAAGCCTTTTTGGGGGGAGAACCATCACAACCTCAAATAGAGAGATGACAGATAAAGGTATTGCAGCTGTAAGAAATCCAGCCCCCCCCATCCTTCCAGAGCTGCTGCTGGGCTTTATGAACTGTTTGGGAAACCTTGTTTGCCAAGGTGAACCAGGAATGTGGAATTATCACAGAATCACAGAATATATAATTTAGAATAGATTTCCTGCTATTGGGTGCTTCCTTTGCCAGTCTCAAACCTCCTGGTGTAAAGGTGCCACCTTGACCATGGAGCAGGATGAGCAGTGCTGTCCAGAGTGCCCTCTTCTAATTTTCCTGCTTGTTTTTTTGACTGGGACCTGTAACAATTTTGGATTTGGGGAATAATTCAGCTGTCCCTACCCGACAGCTATTTCTGCAGTGCTCTGCAGGAGTAGGATCATTTAGGATTCAAGAGTATCTGCAGAGTGCCAGTTGCCCTGAGAGCTCCTCTATCAAGTAGCTTTTGTGAATTCTGCCATTTGAAAGGTCAGTGTGAGTTCTGAGTCAGGTGAAAATTGTTCTTCACCTTGGAGGAGTCCTTAAGGAGCTCCTGCAGCTCTGGACCCTTCTTGGGCTGTACTGTCAGCATTGCAGGGCTGTCAGCTGGCTGGTGTATGGAACTGTTTCCAGTCTGGGTTTCTGGGATGCTGTGCAGAGCTCTTGGTTCCCAGTGGAAACCTGTTTGTACACAGCTTTTGTGGTATTGGATTCCTGCACTTAGGAGGGCAGGTTAAGTGATCTGTATTTGTAGTTTGTGATACAGAGGTCCTGACCTTTCAACACATTTCTGATTGCTCTTGTTCCCTTCCTGGGTTTCTAGAGCAAAATCCACTGAGACCAAGTGCCCAAGGAAAGAAGCCTCTTGTCCTGCCTGCCACTACTGGGCATGTGTTCTCCACCCTCCCTCTTTCTGCCAAAATGAGACATGTACTTCCTTCTCTGGGCAATATTTGAATCAAACCAGGAAAATATTCTCAAAATCTTTAATGCAGCATCTGGGAGGAGAGGAGAGCCGAGCTGGCTGCTCAGCCCCAGGGCAGGGGGTTCAGCAGCTGCAGGTCAGTGCTAACACAGACCACACGGCAGGGGCCAGCCAGCAGCAAACCTGGAGATGGGCAGAGGAGAGCAGCATGTTCCCTCAGACCCTGTGGAGTGATCTTGGGGTGCTTGGAAAACCTGCCTGTTTGCCACCTCAGTCCACCAGTCCTTCATAGCTGAGGAGCTGCCTTGGAACAAGGCTGTGCCTTGCCTTTTCTAATAGTAAGATGTGGTACTCTATTTTGATGTGTATTAAGGATTAAATGTGGACTGACTAAATAAAGAAGGCTGGTACTGCTTAGACATCTCTCTGGAAGCACTGGTCTCCTTGGAAAGACTCCTGAGCATAAAGGGGAATGATACATTTTGGAGTTTGGTTTTTAACTGGATGTCTTTGAAGCCTTTTGAAGTTCTGGGTTTGCAGCAGGGTGGTGTTCTGTAGACCTGTGGCCCAAATACCAGTGAGGGACAGCACTGAACCTCTGTGCTGGTGGGCTAAGGAGTGTTTTTCCCTGTCCTAGTAGTACCTGTTGGTGGGTTGTGCTTTTGGTGGGGCTGCACTGCGTTGGTGTCTCCCTGGTGACAGCAGAGAGCTTGAATCTGAGCAAACTTGCTCAAGCAGTGTTAGTTTGGCTCTGTCTGGTACTGTCTCTCCAGAGGTCTAGGGATGGAGTTTCAGTGTGGGCTTGCAGCCACATTTCCCACGGAAAGCTGTGTTGTTACATGTATTGGATTTGGTGCCCCAGCTGGATACCTTGATGTAGTGGTTGTAACCCAGGGCAGGGAAAATACACTGGAACAGGCTCCCCAGGGCCATGGAGGCCTGACAGAGCTTAAGGAGCGTTTTGACAGTGCTCTCTGGATTGCTGGGGCTGTCATTGGACTTCATGATCCTTGTGGGTCCCTTCCAACTCAGGATATTCTAGGATTCCAATTAGTAGTGCACAGCTAATTCTACTCAGGGAGTTTCTTGCTAAGAAAGCAGTTGCTGCTGGGATCAGCACTGGAAGTGTTGGAAGGCTGTCAGCAAAAATGGCTTTATCGGGGCCGAAGGAAGGAGTCTGGCACGTGGGGGCAACCCTGAAGAAGGGCCATTGTTCAGAGAGGTAAAGCTTGGCTGCACATGGGCAGCTCCTGGTGCTTTCTCCATTCTCTGTGCAGCTCCTCGTCTGAGGCTTGGCACTGTGTACTGGGTGTTCTCTTGTGGAGTAGAGAAGATTAGTGCCAGTACCAGCTGGAACAAATTCCTGCTTCTGTGTAGTCTCTGGAGGTCATTCTGCCTGCAGGAAAACAGTCCCCTAACAAAACAAGCAAACCTGTTTCTCTTGGGGTGTGCTGTTAGTGTTGTCACTGTGTTCCATTTCCCTGCACAGCCCAGGGAAGGAAGTGCTCATATCCAGCATGTGCCACTCAAGGCTCACTGCTGACAGGGAGATCCCCACTGTGTTACAGAGACCACAACTGGCTGTGCCCGAGTCTGTGAAATGGTGTGTTAGTTAGTTTTCCTCTGTTCTAACAAGTCTCCTTATTTACTGAGCACTTTTCTTCCAAACTAAGGCCATAATAGTTTTCTTCCTCTGAATGTGGAAGTGCTTGGTCTTTGGGACTCCTTTGAAGAATTAATCTTTAGTTCATCTCCTGCATGACTCATACTTCAAAAAGGAGCTTGGTTCCTTCTTTTGAGGACACTAGCGAGGTGGGACTCATGACTGATGCCATGTTATGAGTTTTCTCTGCTACTAATTGACCGTGGAGTTTTTTGTGAAGCAGAATGAAGGGCGAAAAGTGATTCTTCATTTAGTGCTGAACATCATGTGCTGCTGAACTGGGTGGTGAAGCCAAGTGAGCAGTTAGACTGTACCAACACATCCTAGCTTAAAATATGGAGTTATTTTAAAAATTATGGAGAAGTAAAATAAAATGTGTACACTCTGGTGTGTTCAAATATGGTAAGGAAGAGGTGAAAACAAGGCTTTAACTTTGCAGATAATACGGATGTATGGGACACAAACAGCTGAGCTGCTGAACGGCAGCTCCTCTGTGGAGCTGTGGTAGCTGATGTCTGCACTCCTTGCTCTTGTTAGAGAGTAAAACATTAATTTCAAGCTCCTTTGTGGCTACACCAGCTGATGTGTTTCCCTGTGTTTGCCATGGGCTTGTAGCACCAACCCATCAGCTGCTGCAGTCAACTGACGAGTGCAGGGCTGCAGGGGGGTGACTGCTGAGGGATGGCAGGTGTACCCCAAGGTGTGTGTCAGGCTGTGCCCCAAGGTGGGTGTCAGGCTGCACCCTGGGGTGTTTGTCAGGCTTACCCCGAGGTGGATGTCAGGCTGTACCCCAAGATGGATGTCAGGCTGTACCTCAAGGTGTGTGTCAGGCTGTACCCCAAGGTGGATGTCAGAATGTACCACAAGGTGTGTGTCAAACTGTACCCCAGGGTGGATGTCAGGGTGTTCCCTGAGGTGGATGTCAGGCAGCAGAGGGTGGAAAAACCCCACCAAGCTGACAAGGAAAATCTTCTTCCCACAGTGATGTGAGAGCTGAGCCAAAGACACTCTTGTCTCCATTCAGATCAAGCCACACTCATAACCATCTTGAACTGTTTTGCATCTGTCTGTCTGCCCCACACAGCTGTGCTGATGGGGGTCAGTTGTTGCTGGGATGAAGTGGGGGGGCATAGGGTACAAACATGCCTGAAATCAAGCTTCACCAGTCCTCCTTCCACTGAGCACTGCACTGTCCTGTATGTCTTGGATTCCTGGTTCTCTTGGCTTTGTTGGTTCTCTTTGGTTTTGTGGCTCTAATAGGATCCTGGATGCAGTCAGGAATCAGTGAGAACTGAGTGTGCAGTCACACCCAGTCCATGTTGGAGTTGGCATATTGAGACTTTGATTTCTAAGAGCTCACACACTGACTCTGTGTTTAGTTCTGCCACTTTGTCCCCGTCCTGAGCAGTACTTCCCTGCTGTAGCACTGAAAGGAGATGTCAGCAGGGCCTGCTGCTCTATGTCTCTTGTGTGAGATCTGTGTAGGCTGCACTGCAGAGCAGAGCTGCCTGAATAGGAACTAAATCAGCATATGCCCCCAGCCACATAGCACAGGGCACGGGGGGGACAGGACGAGCCCATGGCTGTCTGTGTGCCTTGGAGATCTGACAGAGCACGTGGGATGGGTGTCAGTGCATGGGGGTGTCTGATTGAGCAGTGTGGCTGCAGTGCTTGACTTTCACCTCAGAGTTTCTAAAGTGGTTTGTTTTCTTCTTCCTACAGACAATTTTAGGTATACATGTGACATTTGTGGGAAAAAATATAAATACTATAGCTGCTTCCAGGAGCACAGAGACCTGCACGCCGTGGATGGTGAGTAATGTTTTGACACTCAGACACCCAAACTAGGATGGGAAGTCTTTGGGGAAGCAAAATGTGGTTCTGCAGGACCGTGTGGCCCATGATGTGCAGGACATTTTACAACCTGTCTTTGCCATGGAGACACAGCATCCAGGCTCTGCAGGAAGGAGTTTGCTGTGCTTGATTCTCTTGATGTGCATCAAAACAACACCCTATGCTGGGACCTGGGGGTTCTGGTGCTATCTGCAGTGAAGTTCCTGGTTAGGGTGGATATCCTGGAGTGCCTCAGGGTAAATGGTCAGCCTGCCTACTCACTGGGAAAGACTTGGTTGCCTTTTGGTTTCTGACTTTACAGGTTTGTTCCCAACATACTCCTCTGAGAGAAACCACATTTCAGAGCTGGGAAATGTTGTTTTGTTGTTGTTAATCACCCTGGTAGTGAACTGATGGGCAGTGGCCCTTACAGGCTCATTTTTCCTCTCTCTGTGGCTGTAGATGTGGCCTAGGCTGGTGACACTTGGACAGAAGCAGACCTCCACTGCCTGATGCAGTGTTGCTTTATCCTACATGGTGGGAAAGAGAAGCATCAACATACTGACTTTGGCTTGCCCCTTGCTTACTGGGCATCCAAAGGTCCTCAGCTCAGAGCCCACAGACACTCCAAACCCTCACTGTGTGTGCTGCAAGCCTCTAAGTACTGCCCCTCACTTGGCCAAGGATGGAGCCCTGCCAGAATTCTAGAAAGAGGCTCCTTGGAAAGCAGCAGGTTTTGAGCAGCACTGTCTCAGAAAAGCAAGTGGTTTTTTACAATACATGGTGTACAAAAGAATGGCTGTGTTTAACTGGAATGTGTGGACATCTAAAAGTGCTCTAAGGACAGGCAGTGTTCTCCTGCAGGGCACCACTGCCAGCTCCCTCCCTCCCGTGGGGAGCCAGCATGAGATTAGTGGGACTGGGGTCACTGTGAGGGGAACATCTCTCCTTCAGTCAGTGAAGTCTCATGGCTGTGGTTCAGGAGCTCTGTCGAGGGCACAATGGGGCTTGGAAATGGCCCCACGTGTGCCCACAAGGACACTGTGTCAGTCCCTGAAGGGCTGGGGGTGTTCTAGCACATGCAGGTGTGAGGCAGCTGTGCATCTGAACCTCTGTGGGGCCGTGGCAGTGTCAGAACAAAGGCCTTGAGGATCTGTGTGGATTAGGGCTGGGCATGCTCAACTACTTCCTGTGTGGATGCTGCTGGGAAGAGGAGGGACTGGGGCACAAAGCCTGGTTTATTCAGTGGGTCTGAACTATGCTGAGCAGTATGTGAAATGCAGGAGGAAAACAAGACCTTTTAAGAGGATTTAATTTCTGTTTTGTTTCTTCCCCTCCTTCTTCTATTCTGTGTTAGTTTTTAGTGTGGAAGGGGCCCCAGAAAACCGGGCAGGTAAGCCGAGCTCCTTTGTGTGCTTTATTTCACAAACCTTTTCAAGCATTCAGTAGCTCAGACACAGAAGGTCCGATTCTGAACTTGGAAGAGTCAAAGGAATTTTGTCATGGATTGCAGAGGGACAGGGAGTGTCCTCTCTCCCTCCCCCAGTGTCTATAGCCAGTAGGTTGATGCCCAGCCCTAGCAGATACCAGGCTTTTGTTGCACATACAATTGATCAGGCTTCAGAAAATCAAAGAAGCAGGTGTTTCATGTCTTTGGTGTTTTAGTGAATTGTTCAAGGTATAAATTAAATTCTTTTATAAAATGGGTTGGGTTTTGATTTGTTGCTAGCTGTGCTGTTAGCTGGTAGAAGTCCCAGGTCAGTATTTGGTAGGTGACTTGCCTGCAGCCTGCATTGCCCTGCCCACTTTCAGGCAGTACAGCAGTTGCACTGGAAGAAAATCAAAAAATATGGATCAGACGTTGCAATGTGTTTGTTCAGTTTTTCCTCTGTATTTTTTAAACATTAATACCTACAAGGCATGTTCCTGGGCTGGAAGCAGGGATAATCCTGGGGCACCCGAGGAGGAGGAGGAGGAGGAGAAGGGACAAGTCAGACAGAGGGGTCATTTGGTTTATAATTCTTGTCTTCACATCTTGTTGCAGATGGAAATGTCATACAGATGCAGGAGCATTCAGTGCCCGTGCAGCTGTAGGAGGCAGCCCTGAGGGTGTGTCAGCTGAGCTGCTGCTCTGTTCTCTTGCAGACCCCTATGACCAGGCCGTCATCGCCGCCGACGAGGTCAAGGAGGAGGAGCCGGAGCCGTTCCAGAAGATCGGGCCAAGTAAGAGTTATTGCACAGCTTCAAAGGAGAGGGGAAGCACAGGGGGTCACATCTGCCCTGAGCTGGAGTACCTCTAGGAAAACCAGGAAGCACTGTGGTACACAGAGCTCTTGGGACTTGATATGTTCAGGTTCAAACGAGCATCAAACACAAAGAGCCCTGGCTATGAGAACTGCAGCTTTGTGATGTTTCCTGCTCAAGAGCTCTGCAAAGGGAAGAGGTAGAGGGTTCAGGGGAAAAGCAGTCTGGCAGCAGTGAGGTGGCAGAGCTGGCAGGTGATCTGTTCACACTGCCTTTGTGGAGGGTCATCAGGGCAGAGGGAAGCAGAGAGAGCACCAGACAAAGCATTTCTCCGAATTCGTCACTTTGGAAACGATTGATTATCCCTGGGTTTTCCTTTGGCTTGCACCTTGCTGTCAGTTGTGGACTGACACTGGCAGGAGCAGGAGGTGTCAGTGTGTGGTTACACTCCATTATTTCCAGTACCCCCAAAGCAGGAATGAGCACCGTTGCTCCTGAAAAACCCCATCTCCTGCAAGAGAACTCTACGATCCCAATATAAAAGTTCTCTAATACTGAAGTTTGACTACTTGTTTCCTAATTTGACTCTTCCTGTTGTCCACACATCGCAGACTTTCTGTAACCAGAGGACAAAACTGTGCCATCTGTAATACAGACTTTAGAAGTGGATTCTCTCCTTTGTTTTGCACTTACTTGCTGTAATTTTGGGGTAATCTCCTGCAGCTTGTTCAGTTCTACGGGGTTTTTTATGCACAATCCATCCCTCTGGTCACTGCCTTGAGCTGTTTCCTTTCTTGGGGAAGGACGTGTGGATTACAGGGGAGGTGAGTTCCACATGGATGAGGAATGTGCTCAAGTTTGTGTCACCAGTTTATATGTAAAAAGACAAAAATTGGGGGTTATGTAAGAGGGCTGCACCCCTTCCTGATCTTCGTATTTGTGTCATTTCACAGAAACTGGCAATTACACCTGTGAGTTCTGTGGGAAGCAGTACAAGTACTACACTCCCTACCAGGAGCACGTGGCCCTGCACGCTCCCATCAGTGAGTATCTGCTGTTCCACTGCAGGCTCTGATCTACAGGGTTGTGCTGAACATGAGGGTGGCAGGAGAGAGATCATTCTTGTGGATCCTTCCACTGGAGCTGTGGGATTGCAGTGGGCAGGACATGGATCATGTGCTGCCCAGGGACTGTAAAGCTGAGCTGGGATCTCCTCTCACAGGGACGCTGTTAAGTCAGTCACCAACTTGTACCCCAGTCCATGCAATTCTACCCATGTTCCCTGGGGGTTTGAAGGTTTAGTTTGTTGTGTAACTGCAGTGATGCACAGAATTTGTAGGCTCCCCTAAATAATAACTGAATGTACATGTTAGGGAAGAAGCATCTTTCTTACGAGCTTCTAGGAGGTTATTTCAGACAATGAGTTAAAACTGGGTTTCAAAATCATGTACATGACCTCGTCAGCCTGCTACTAAATCACAGGCAAGAAACTATTTATTTCAGGGAGCTCCAGAAAAGGCAGTTCTTACTGCAGCCTGCACTATGGAGGGTGCCCTCCCCAGACAAAGGGGAGGTTTTAATGAACAATTCTGTAATTCAGTGCAAAATTTGAGTAAACTAGTTTAGAGAAATTCTTGCTACCTGCTGGCTTTGAATGCTCTAAAAGTATGCAGAGAAGTTCTTTACACCTGAACTTCCTGCTCCTTTCCCAGCATTGCCCTGGGCTTTGCTGTGAGCTGCGGTGGCTGTTCCTTGCCCGGTGTGTCCTGCTCCAGCGTTTGGGATGATGGAGAGGAGGGATGGGCTGAGCTCATGCCTCCAGCTGCCGCCAGCAGGGGGGGCGCGCGCGCCTCCCTCCCCAAATTCACCTTCCATCGGGATTTTAAGGGGTCCTAATTAGGCACCTTTGGGTTTGTGGGAACACAGTCCACCAGACTGTCACTTTTAAGGTTAGTCAAGGTTTGGTGTCTCTTGACAGCTCCCATGCAGGTTCTCTGAAGGTTGGAGATAGAGCAGGATCAGGGCAGAAGGGGCAGGGCACAAAATGCCTCTACCAGCAGCATCACCAAGTTGATCTCATTGTCTGCCATCTGCTGAAGGAGCTACCCCAGTAATGTGATTGCACACATACCAGTTATTCCTGAGCTTCCCTGCACCCCCAGGCTGCACCTCTTCGTTCAGGTGTTCTCAGTGCTCAGCAGGCCGTGGGTGACCAGCAGTGGGTCAGTCCCTGCCACAGCTGTGCCCTTGGGCACCCGGCTCTGGGCTCACTGGGGGCCCCGCAGAGAGCTCAGGAGCAGTGAGCTCTGAGGACTGGGCACTGGAGCTCTGCTCAGCTGTAGCAGGCTCTTGCCTTCCCAGTACTTCCCATTTCAAGGGGATTTATTGCCATGGATATCTTTCCACCCTCCCAGCCATCTGAAGCAATAGCTGAGCTGCTGGTTCCAGTCCAGGAGCTCCAGCAGAAAAGAAACCCACAGCAGTTGTTCTCTGGGAGGTGTTTCCCTGGGGTGGGCCCTGCAAAGGCCTCCACAGGCCCTGCCCCTCCCCTGGGCAGCTCAGGGGCCTGGCCCAATCTCCACTTTGTGGCTGCTGGGGGCCAGTTTTGGAGGAGGAGGAGGAGGAAGAGGAGGAGTGTTCTTTGGAACACTGGGGTTGAAACCATTCCTGCACCCTGGTTTCTGCTGTGAAAGAAAAGAAGCTGCCTCTAACTGCAGACTAAATCAGCAGCCAGAGATGTGCAGATGAGTTTCCAATGCTTTCAAATATCTCTATGAGGACACTTCAGATCAAGATAATATTTTCATAAGGTTTAACTCCTCCCCCATAATTTTTTCTTTTTCCTTTTTTTTTTAACCATGTTTTTTCCTCTCCTAGTTCCCATGGCCAGTAAGATTTATGATTTACAATCTCCCACAGGAGAGGGCACAGTGAGCTCCCAAAGCAGACTGGCCAGTACATTCCCCCACCTTTCAACTGCTCAGACTCTGCTCTTCCCAAAATCCAAGGTCTTGGGAGGCAGCTGACTTTTGGAAAGCACAACTGGCTTTTTTGGACCCTTGCAGTCAGAAGTAAAGCTGAGACTGTCTTTACCCTAGTCTTGTTCTTCTGGGTATAAGGCAAATGCTGAAAAATTGGTCGTAGTAGGATTGGTTAAGGAAACCCCTTCAGCATTTCCAAACCAGCTTTCTGAAGCTTGAGTGCAAGCTTCCCTTCCAGAACCTGTCCTTCTGGTTTTCTGTGATAATGGATAAAAAGTCATTGAAAGTGGGCTAAAACAAGGACTGAAATCCTGCAGGGTCAATAGGAATCTTGCAGGATAATTTTTGGTCAGTGCTGCTGCCTGGAGAAGAACTCTGCTGTGGGGTTCCCTGGAATTATTAATGCCAAATGTCTCCAAAGTTCACTTTTTTGAGTGTGGAGTAGTGGCTTTTTCATAAGCTTAGAACTGGGCTATGACTCTTTAAAAATACACATTTCTCTGCTGTTTCTGTCAACATATTCACTCTTTTGAAGAAGGGTGTCAGGGACTGTTTCCAGTACAAAAGTGGACTGTAGGCACAATCACTGTCCCAGTTTTAGAACTGTCTCTGAATGGAGGGGCATGGGGAGGGCTCAGAGATTTGTCTGTCCTCCCTCAGACTCTGACTGCTCTGTAAGGTGGGACTGACTGAACCACGTTTGCAGGTGGCTGGGCTGTTGGAATTGCTTGGAAAGATGGAGAGGGACTATTTGCCAAGGGTCTGGAGTGACAGGACAAGGAGGAATGGCTTCAAACTGCCACTGAGTAGGTTTAGATGGGATATTGAGAAGAAATCCTTCCCTGTGAGGGTGGGGAGGCCCTGGCACAGGTTGCCCAGAGAAGCTGTGGCTGCCCCATCCCTGGAAGTGTCCAAGGCCAGGTTGGACGGGCTTTAGAGCAACCTGGTCTAGTGGAAGGTGTCCCCCCATGGCAGGGGAATGGAATGAGTTGGACTTAAGGTCTTTTCCAACTCAAACCATTCTGGGATTCTGTGATGTGCTTGCAGTGCAGAGAAAACTTGGAGTGTTGGGGATGTGGACTAGCTGTAAATCCACCAGGAGAGGGATTTAGCTTTTAGTGGGATTTCCCAAATCCAGGCTTAGGAATGTGCACTCACCACATCCTTCTCTGGTACCTGCAGATAAGGCAACAGACTCCCAGGTCATGGAAGCATGTGTTGAGAGCACTAAACTCTCCACAGCTCTCCATGTTTTTTGTTTCCAGGATGAAAATCTAAAGTGATGTTAGGGCCCTGAGAGCATCAGTAGGTCCTGAAGGCCCTGAGTAGCCTCACAGGGCACCTGTGCCCAGTGTCACACTCCCTGTGCCAGCTCTGAGCCATCAGGCCCTGCCTGGGCTGCTTTGTAGGATTTTGGTCTCCAGCTCTGTTGTAGACGTGCCCATGCCTGGCTGTGCATCCCATGGGTCTGGGTCCCAACCCACAGATTGACTTCCCAGCTTGATGTCAACCCTGTCCCATCATTCTGGACCTCCCTGAGGATCACTGGTGTGTGTCTGGCCCTGGGTAACCTCACTAGAACTGATCCTGCTGCTGACCTGTGGATTGACTTCCCAACCTTACCACAGACTTGTGTCATTGCCATGAACTTCCTGAAGATCTGGTCCTGTTGTTGAAGCTGTCTGTCATCTCTGGTCCTTGCTCACCTCTCTCAGGGTCTGTGGGATGGGCCCTGGCTGTTGAAGACCCTTCCCTGCCAGCCCTGGGATCATTCTTGGCTCTGTAGGGGACAGACAGACCTACACCCACCCTGACACCTGAGATGCTCAAGAAAGTTCATCCAGCCTCTCTGCTCAATTCCTTTCCTTATTGTGAAGGACACTGGATATCATTTGTGTATCAAAAGTGCTTGAATGCAGTGTTTCAGGAGGGCAGCTGCTCTCATGGGTTTTCCCTTAGGGAAAGGGATCCTCTTTGATAGCACATGTGGTTTCCACACAGCTCCTGTCTAACCAAGAAAAAACAGCTCCAGATTCCATTTGCATGGTGCATCTTTGCTTCCTCGGTGAGGGAAATTATGAGTTATTCCCACTCTCTAATCCCACAGTGCCTTGGCAGCAGGCACTCCACCTGTTTGTGTGTATAAAGGCACACATTAAAAATTCTATAGGTTAGAGCAGAGGGGTTTTCCTGTGGAAAGACCTGTTTGCCATAGCAGAGGTGTCTGCTCAGAGTATTGAACTTCAGGCCATTGTTAAGGAATCACTTTCCATCATATTCAGTAGAGAGAGTGTTTTTCTCCACAGGTGATGGTATAATTTCATCTGAACCATCCAAATGGCTTCTTACCCATCCTGGCAAGATCTTTCTGAACAAATGCTATACACAAATTATTAGCCAGAATTTTTGCCTGGAAAAAGTCATGTTACTGAGATAATCTGATCTCTGATGTGGTGGTGCATTGTGGCAGTGAGTGGATTTATGTGTGCCACATTTTCTCCTTGCTGCCACAGCTTGCCATTCACAGGGCTTGAAGGTCTTCCCAAAACCAGGAAAGCCAGGAGGGACCACTGTGATCTCTGGACTGCCCAGAGAAACACATTCTGTAGGATTGCCTTGATTTAACTGCTCATAGATAAGTTTTAGAGAGAAATCTAATCTTGCTGTTGAGTGACAGAAAATACAGCAATCTCTTAAGGTAATTATTGTGATGCATTATTACCCTCACTAAACTGAGCCTGAAAATATCCAACTGTAGCTTTCAGACACCAGGTCCTATTTATAACTTTGTCTTCTTGGTGAAGGAGGACTAAGTTACCAAATTTCTGGCCTTTGCAGACCCTTGCACAGCCTGCTCTCAGGTCACTAATCTCCCAGTGAAGCCAAAGGACTGACCTGTGTTTCTGTTGTAAGCTCTGCTGCTCTTGTCCTTCATTTATCCTCCTGTCTTCTGCCCTGACTGTTCTCCAGTGAGTTCCCCACCCTCGTGCAGGGCAGGGCCCAGCACTGGCTCCTGGAGGAGCCGAGAGCTCCCACTGTGTCCCCAACGCCCTTGGAAGGTGCCCCAGTTCACACCCAAAGAGGACCTCTGTCATTTCAGCCCCAGCATCACCCTGGGAGCTCCTCTGCAGCCACCCTGACTGAGCACAGCAGTGAACAAGCTTCTTCCTGCTGCCAAGGTGGAGTCCCCCCATCTTTTCAGCATCACCTGGATCATGTGAATCCTTGAGCACATCGTGTGCCACTCTCAGAGCTGCAGCACAGAGCCCTCAGTGACTTGAGATCATGCAGTGAGAATCACTCTCTACATCACTCTTCTCCTTCTCCACCTTCCACTGGGACATGTCTCAGCTGCTTTCCAAGAAAGTTTAAAAAGCTCCAGAGCAGCAGTTATGAGATTGTCTGCCCACAGTGTTCTCTCCAGTCTTGCTGTGTAGCTGCAGATTTTGAGGCAGGAGGTTTTTGTGGCCATTCAGCAACTCAATATTTTTATTTTTAGAAATATCTTGGCCTTTTTGTGAGCCTGAGGCAGATGACTTTTCAAGAGCAGAGCAGAGGAGCTGCATGATGGTCTCTACCTGTGTTGCTCAGTTTTCAGAGGGAATTTGTCATCTGATGAGCATTTTTTTCCCAATGAACTATTATCATCCTCCAGACTGCTAGAACTAATATTCCTTTGTCTCTCTTGCATTGCTGGCTCAAACTCTCTCTGCCTGGTGTCAGATGGAGAAGCCTTCTCTCTGGGGTCTCAGTTTGAAGACATACTATTTGTTTAAGTTGGGAAGAAAAAGAAGACATTTTGGAGGTCATCACAGCATTGAGACTCTTGTCTTCAGGTCTCAGAGAGCAGTGTCTGGGCTGCAGAGGATGTACAATGGTGCTCTTTGTTTCTGACACTGAAGAGTTGGCTGAGTGCTGTTTCCCTTGGTATGGATGGAGAATAAAGCAGCAATTGGTGGGAATGGTCCTCATGGGAAACCAGATGACACATAAGAAGGAAATTTTCATATCTGACTACATTTTTGCTGGCAGCAACTGGAGGAGGATTATCCATGGAAAATGAAAGGAAGTATAGGGAGCAAAACAAGCCTCCTGCCTATTCAGCTGGCCAGAGAGCAAGCAGAGGAGAAGTATCCTGACCTAAACTATGAGAAAACCCAGTGCAGGATCTCCTAGAGAACAACAGAAATGTCAGCCTAGATCTGTGTGTCAGAGCAAGTGAAACGAAATACCTGGAGTTACAAACCCCTCTGGATGTACACACCCCCACTCCCCAGTGCTGCTGAGGGGAGGATGAGAGGGATCACATTTGAGGTCTGTAATGTCTCCTGGGATTTTTGAAGTGAGCATCCAGTCTCAGTCTGAGGAACTTTTCTCCTCCCCTGTTTCAGAGTCAGGCTGTTGTGCTGCCATGGCATTCCATGACAGCTGCTCCACGTGGATAGGTATTCCTCAGTTACACTCTGTAGGATGGGCAGGTGCTGGTGTGGTCCATCCACCTTTAGGCATCCTACAGTGTCACTCTGTAGAAATTACTGAGTGAAATTAGGGAGATTGGGCTGTGGGTTAAAAAACTGTGGGTTAAAACCTTGTTTCTTAGTGATTCTTCATGACAGATGGTTGGAGTGAGACATGGGCTCCAGGAGTCGTATCCAAATTTCCATAGAAGAAGCCACTGAGGAATGAAGGTGTTTCTTAGATAATTTCTCCATTTTTGTAATTGGTTTTTTAATCCACGTGGCCCAGGCAAAGGGCTATTCTCCTGAAGGTTTTTTCACATGACTTTTGGCATTGAAAATTCCTGGTGATCCTCACTGTGCATTGCAGAGACCAAAATGGAGATGCATTCAAAGAACATATCCCAGTAATACTGAGAATTTCTCCACATGTCACCAGTACTGATCTGGAGATGGGGACCAAAAAGCCTTTACTCACTCTGCCTCCTAATTCCATTTCATTCCCAACAGCCCCTTTTCCTTTGTAATTGGTTGAAGAGACAAGGAATGTAGCTGGAGATCGCTAGGATTTATGCAAGGCTCGAGGAATAAAGATGTAAACTTCTCTCTGCTCAGAACCCTGAGTGTCACTTTAGAAACCTGCTCTCAAAATCAAATACCTAGAAATGGAGGCAGAGCTGCAGGTTCACCCGGCCAGGCCGTGGCAATCCAACAGTGCTCCTGGATGGATGGGGTGATTCCTGCTGGAGGAGGAATGGGTTGGTCACATGGCAGGTAAAGGTGTGGAAGGGAGTTAACAAGCTTCAATAATCACCCTGGGGTGAGTGGGGAAAGCAGTGCTGTTCTGTGGGATCAGTGCTGTTCTGTGGGATCAGAGCTGTTCCCTGGGATCAGTGCTGTTCTGTGGGATCAGTGCTGTTTCCTGGGATCAGTGCTGTTCCCTGGGATCAGTGCTGTTTCCTGGGATCAGTGCTGTTCCCTGGGATCAGTGCTGTTCCCTGGGATCAGTGCTGTTCCCTGGGATCAGAGCTGTTCCCTGGGATCAGTGCTGTTCCCTGGGATCAGTGCTGTTCTGTGGGATCAGTGCTGTTTCCTGGGATCAGAGCTGTTCCCTGGGATCAATGCTGTTCCCTGGGATCAGAGCTGTTCCCTGGGATCAGAGCTGTTCCGTGGATCCGCGGTGGCTGTAGTGCCCATGCGGGGATGGCTGAGCGTGGCTGTTGCGCAGCAGCTCCGGCAGGCCCAGCTCTGGGAGCTCACTGGCTGTGCAGGCACTAGTTCTGATGTTCATATCCAGAGTTCTCTCGATCTCCACTCTTCGTGGCAGTGAAGACCCAGACGAGCCAGTCCAGCAAAAAATCTCCGGCGTCCCTAAACCGCTGTTCCGGCCTCCTGCACCGCACCCCCTCCGGGGTCCCGCCCGCCTCCCAGTCCCAGATGTTCCGCACTCCAAACTCTGGATCCCCAGGAAGCAAGGCCATCACAGGTACCAATTGCCTTTCTACCATCAACTTTCTTAACTGCTTAGTGTCCAGTCCTGCCCTGGGTTGGCTTTTGACCCTCACTGGACTCAGTCTGCTCCATCCATGACTGTCCCAGAAAAACTGCTCCCAGAAGCCCTTGAATGGATTAGATCCTTTGGCACATTATAAATAAAAATTTACCTCAGCAGTAGATCTTTGTAACCTCTTCCCAGTGAGAAGTTGGTTCTGTTGAGCATTGTGGTAATCACAAGGTTTTAAAAGACCTTGTTTCAAATCCTGGCGTCACAAACTGAGGGGAGCTTCCTGACAAGGATTGGTGTGATGGCTTGTCAGGAATGGGGATTTTTGTTTGGTTTTCAGCACTGTTTGGCATTTAGTGTTTGTTTCCCTCAAGGTGATGTTTCCAGGGCTATGTCCATGCCTTTGGAAGTGAAATGGAGTACAGGTGTTTTCCCAGTGCTCCACTCCCCAGGAAACTCCGAGAGATAAACTGAGCAGAAAAGTCAATGTCACAGAACCGTTACAGAAGCGTCAGAAAGCTCAGGTTGGGACTGATCCTCCCATTGTCTGTATCCTCCTTCTAAACAAGATCAAACCTTTTAAAAAAAACGTATTAAAAGAAAGCAAAGTATTAAAAGAAGCAACTAAAAAATAACAGTTAATAAATAGGGTGTGAGACATAATGTGACATGCAGGCAGCTGGGAAGCACTCTCCTAAATCTGTGGGATTGATGGATATGCATTCCAACTGCATGCAGCAGAAGGGCTGGTCAATTAGTTCGTGTTTAGATGCCCCTGAAATGTCTGGCAAGGGCAGATGCTGAGTACAGGGGTGGCTGTGCTGGGAGAGGATGCAATAGTGAACAAGGGGGGGTTGTTAGATACGACACACATCCACAGCTGCCGGAGCTTGCTGAGAGACCTGTCTTTTTACAGCTTGTGAATCCTGGGATTCCATATTGTTACTGCACCTCTTAGACATGGATATGATGTTTTTACTAATTTGAGGTCCGTCCAGTTCAACCAAGTCAGGAGTTAAAGCTGACAAACCTTTTTCATTATTTACTTAAACTTGCAACAACTTTTTCCAGTTTCATGTGTCACAAAAGTGGAAAAACAGGGAGCCCTCTTGGGCCAGAGGTCAGTCATCTGAGCAGAAACTGGGAGGTGTTTTTTGTAAGAGCACTCTTTTCCCCCCACTGCTCTAATGAAAAGTGGGTCAGAACACTGGGAATAAACTCGGAGCTGTTCTCTTCCTTTCCGGGGGAAGGAATCGTCTATGCTTGAGCCTGGTAGATGGATCTTCACAAACTAATCCTAGTCTGGGGTCCCACCCCATCTGTCATTTCCATGGGGTCTTTCATGTCTGTGTCTTGTACAAATGCAGTCTGAGGGCTTCTGGAATTCCTGGTGCAAAGGCATTGCGTGTAACCCCTGCCAGGAAGAATCTCCAGAAGGGGTGCCTTCTGAGTGCTGTGGTTAGAGACATTCCACATGGGCCTGGATAACTCCAGAGATAGGGAGGTACCACTCCCCTGCCAGGGCTTGCACAGACCCTTGGTAGAGTGGCACTGACTTGGTCTGTACAGATCAGTTTGCTTTGCACACAGAAGGTTCAGATACAAGGAGAAAGAGAGAGCAGGTGGGAGCTGCCCTCTCCTGTGTGGGAAGGACACAGTAAGATCAGTAAGACCAAGCAGTTTTTTATTGCCAGACTTAGGGGGGAAAAAAAGGCCAGGGAATGAGGGCAAAACCACCACGCAAATTTTTTCCAAGCATTTTTGGAGACCTCCAACTCACTTCCAATTGTGACGTAAGCCAGGATTTGAACCTGGGTCTCTTGAGGGGGTGGGTTGACCCAAACCATTTTGTCATGGTCTCTTTTTCCACTGTGCCATCTGATTTTAAGGCCTCTCATTTCTATTATTTATCTCTCAAGTAGGGTGCATAGATAATGTCTCCATTTCCTTTGCAGTCCTGTTTTGTGTGTTTCTGTTTTAATTCATTTGATTACCAGGTTTTTCTGTTCTCCTGAATTTTAGGAGTTAGGAATGTAGTAGATTGAGAGTTTGAGAATCCTGCTCAGGACTTGGAAGGGTCCACTGGCGATTGGCTAGGCCAAAATCTGTGGGCTGGGACCTTCTTGCAGTTCAGGTTTTTGGTAACCTCACCAGCCCTACAGTGTATGAGCCACACTGCAGCACTGGGAGCCTGCAGGAGCTGGGGCCTCTGGGGAAGTCCTGGCAGCTGTTGTGACCACTCCATGGTCTGCAGAAATCCAGACTGAAATCATGGTCTGATACGAGTTTTCAACAGTCCCCATCACTCTGAATGAAGCACAGTCTGCAGGCTGAGAGCCCAGCAGAGCTGGGCCGTGTCCACGTGTCATTGGGTGACAGGGAAGGGTCAGTCCAGCACAGACCACACACAGTAGTTTGGCCAGTTAACATTTTTTTTTATTTCTAGTTTATCCTTTGAGTCACTACAGTAAATCCATTTGCCCAGATACTGCAAACCCTGTGAAGTGAGGCAAGACCTCACACTGTTTGTAGTGTTGAACTTGTGCTGAGGGACACCAGCTTGAGCAGGATGGGATCACTGACCTGCACTGTGCAGTGATGTGTCAGGACACTGTGGGCACTGCCAGGGTCAGGAGACACCTCTGCCCACGGGAAGAGGTCTCCCAGCACAGTTCCTGGGAAGCTGCCCTGTGCAGTGTGTGGAGCAGGTGCCCTGCCAGGAGCAAGGCCTGGCACCACACTCAGGGGAGCAGGGCCTGCCTGCTGGGCCCCAGGGAGACTGCAGGAGTCAGGGCACTGTTGGGAAGCACAAAGGGTCAGAGGATGTTCCATAGCTTTTCCAGACATGGTGGGCAGGCTCTGAGACAGCCCTCCAGGCCTCCACTGGAATGTTTCCAGGAGGGTGTTTAGGAAGGGAATGCAGGTGACTGGGAAGCACAGGGAGAGCTGGCATCGTGCCTCTGTAGGTGACACTTTGGTGTTGTGGTGAGGTCCTCATTAGTGTGCAGATCTGGTCACCTGTGCCAGAGGCTTTAAGAGCTGCTCGTTGCCTTAAGGAAGAGTAAGATCAGGGTTGGGTTTTTTTGCAGGGGAGGAAACCATGACCTTTCTGGTTCAGTCAGGACTGGTGTTCATGGGCTCCCTAAGAGCCAATCCAGGTCACCTCAGCCAGAAGGCATTCAAGAAAAATACCTACCTGTTATGCCTTCCCTGAATCTGTTCCATTTGCCTCCAAAACGAGGTATTTGGCCTTTCTGCTGTATTCAGGGTATGTGATTATGTGGCACAGGAGCATGTCATCTTGCCTTCTGTCTGCATGGTTCTGCATCCAGTGTTGACCAGTCACCATCCCTGCTTTGTTCTCCACACAGCAGAAAGTGCTTTCAGCAGAAGAGTGGAAGGCAAAGCACAAAACAACTTTGAAGAAACAAACAGCAATTGCCAGAATTCCAGTGGTAAGTGAGTTCACCCCCTCCTGCTCTTGCTACCACGTTCCTCTCCAAGCAGGAATCAGCTGTGCTCAGTGATTGTTGATGTATTTGGGGCACTTTGGTTAAGCTCACAGGCAGCCAGCCCTCCTGGGGTTAGTGCCTTTTCTCCCTCCTCCCCAGGCTCCTGGCATTCCAAACCTGTTAAAAAGGTGATATGGGAATCCTGCTCCCAAGGACTGGGTACTTTAGCATAGATTTTTCAGCAGGGAGCAAAGATGTGGAGGAAGGATGGATGGAGATGCAGCACTGCTCATGCTGTGTCCGTGTGTCAGTGCAGTCCTGGTGAAACAAAGCCAGCAACAAGCAAGAGAAGCTGAGCTGAGCACTGAGTGATGCTCAGTGCATGTTACAAGGGTGCTGAGTGTGGCAGTTTATTTACATGTCACTGTAACCAGCATCCAGCTGTTTGTGGGTTCACTGCATGGAGGTCACAGCGTACCAGATGTGGGACCAAAATACATCTGCTAGAAGGAATGAAAATTTACTCCACTTCTGGAGTTTCTTTTCATTTTAAGTCCAAGTGGTAGTAACTGAACATAACCACTGGTCTAGACAATTTTGTTTAGGTACACTGTTGACAGAGTTTTCTCTACAAGACTTTTATTCTTCCTGTGTATTGCCCTGCCTTCCAGTGGGCCACTGCAATTCTCTTGTGCTCCCTAATTGGAGCATGACAAACCAGATGAAATGTAATTTTGGCATCTTGGTGCAGAGATAAATAAGGTGCTGACAGAAAAGCCCGTTCTCCCTCCATTCCCCATCCAAGAGTACCAAAATGTGGTGTTTTCACTGCCTCTGGCTGGAATGGAGCTGGTTACAGGTCTGTTGGGGGGGTTGTATCTGCCTCTGAAGCAAATAAGACACTTTCTGGAGCATGCTGAAAAGGAAAGACATGGTGTTGGAAAACGCCCTCGTGGTAGCAGAGTGGATGATGGTGAATGGGGAAAAAAGTTGTTTGTTACTGAAATACTGCGTGTTATGTTTTGGGGAATAATCCTGTACTAATCCAAGCATTCACCACAATTACAGCTGGTCATTCGGGGACAGAAAAACCTAAAGAAAAGAGGTGTAAGCAGAACCCATCAGGTGAGCTCGTCTCTGTGTTTCAGGCCCTTGTACCCATTAGTCCTGTTCCACCTGGGGAGCTGCAGGGGCTGTTGTCAGGCAGCCCAGCCTGGCTGTCAGACACGGCTCAGAGCACTGTAGTTCACTGACTGCCAGAGCCAGCAGCCTGGTTTGCTGCCCTGAACGTGCCCCTGGGCTCTCAGCAGCTCTGCTCCTCGTGTCTTGTCTTCTGTGGGTACTAGGAGTGGTTTGAAGGGTTTCAAAGCCTTGAAGTGCACACCTTAAAATGCCAGTATACCATTTGGGTCCCTGACTCCTCTGGGGCCCTTTGAAAGCAGCAGTCTGAGATTGTACCTTTTTTATTCCTGTAAATTTTACCTTTTTTATTCCTGTGAAGCCCTGTACAGCCTACAGGGCAAGGGCAAAAACATCTTCCTTCCTATCAAACAGCTCATCCCTAGAGCCAAGAAAGCTGCATTGTAAAACCTTCTGGCTGCAAACCTCTTTTTAAATTTGGGAGGAGATGAACGTGTAGCATGGGAGGGGGTCCAGGAACCACTGACAAGAAGCACACACGGGGAGTGGCTGTATTTAGTCCAAAACTTGAGTTCTGTCTGAACTATTAAATACTGACCCACTGTTGCTGTGACACATCTCCCAGACTCTCCCTGGCATCTCCTTGTACCAGCTCACATCACGCTCATCCTTCTCAATCTGTTTTTATCCAAACTGCAACATTTAAAGCACAGGAGTAAAAGCTCACAGTAAAAACCCAAACGAAGCCAGAAATTCTTACAAACAGTAGAGTTTCATGGGATTTGCTGGTGTTCTTTCATTGTAAGGAGTGTTTCTGTTTGCACCACATGCAGTGTCAGTTTGTTTTAGTGGCTCAGTCTAGGGCCTGGCAGGCTGCAGGGGAGTTACAAGGTGCTCACCTTATCTTTTGTTTGAGCCAGGAAACCTGAGGAACTCGAGTGAGCTGCTCAGGACTGGTTTGAGAGGAGTTGGGCTCTAGTTAGAAGCAGTACCTTTCTGCATTAAGCAGCTGACACACTCCTCAAAGCCAGGCATGGGGATGCATAAACTTTTTCCCCTTTCCCTTCCTTTATCCTGCATCCCCTTTTCTTCCCTAACCCTGTTTTCTCTTTGCCTCCATTTTTGTGCTGCTTGCTGTGTGTCCCATTCATTGCTCTTTTCCAGCTCTTGCTCCAAGCCATTTCTCTTCTTTTATTCCTTCACATTGTCAGGAGTCAGTCCAAGTGGTTTCATTGACAGCAGCCTGGGTGAGCATGACCAGTTACTGAGAGTGTCACTGGTGATCAGAGAGGCCCTGGAAAGCTCTCAGGCATCCGTGTGCTCAGGTGTCCAGGCAGGGCTCTCAGTAACTGCCTTTTGGAAGAGCTGGTGTGTCTTTGCCTCCCCATTTTCCTTCTTTCTATGGCTATGTTTCAGTGGGGGCACAAACACCACATGGCTCAGTGTCACGTGTGGGACGTGAACTCTGGGGTAATTCTGGCACTATTGGCCTGTCCTCCCTTGAGCCCCATCCAGCAGGGAAGCAGCTGGGGATAACGTGGTGGGGAATGACAGAAGGATGGACACTTCCGTCCTCCCACTCCCATCTGCTGCTTGTCACCACACTGCTGCTGCTGTAAGGAACAGTCACCAGGTTTGGGAGGTAAATGTAGGTCCCAGCTGAGCAGCCCGAGCTGTGTGAGTTGGCCTTGTTAAATGCATCATTGCACTCGCTCTCTGTGGATGTGAATTGTGCGTTGCAGGCTCAGGTAAAGAGATGTCAAAGGGAGCAGTAGGAGGTTTTTAGGCCACCCAGCTGGGGACATTCTGCTCTTTCCCCATGTCATCATCCTGACTGCAGGGCCACAGACCCCTTCATGTCTGGCATGAGGGGGGAAGATGAGCAGAGCAGGAAGGTAAGCATCTAAAACCACCTAAAACAGACTTGGATGCAGTGCTGTTGGGAGTCCTGGGGGAGAATAAGACAACTAGAATGGAAAACATTGGATTTCAGATGTCTCTCCCCTGTGCACAACGCTAGTCCTTGTCACAGTGAATGCAGGTACCTGATATCCTTGTCTGAGTGCCCTGGCATCCTACTGCCCATAAAACAGCAGTTGTGTTTGCATGGCAAACTCTGCTTTGTGGCTGGTTTGAGTCTCCTCCAGTAGCAGGTTTGTCTCCCAGCAGGGTGGGATGGAGCCATGGAGTGGATGGAGAAGGACTCTTCAGCTGTCGTCCATGATGTGATTGGGGAGTATCATTTGTATTCATGGAAAAGAGTCTCCACAGCCCCTTAAACTTCTTTTTGATGAAACCTGGAAGTTTCACAGTGCTTTAAAAATAGGATCCTGCTAAGATGTTCTAGTTACTCGCTTGTGCCGCCTCGAGCGCGCAGGCAGCAAAGGTCCCAAGTCACATGAAGCTTCTGTTTACCCACTGCTGAACTAAGGTCCAGAAAACAGTGCCACGACCTGATCCTGAAACATGGAATTATCCCACTGGGATGTAGAAGTTGTTATTCAGTGAGGTGCCATAAAAATGCTTTCAAGGAAACCCTCCGTGGTGGGGGTCATTTTGCTGAGTCTTGACACATGCTGGGGTTTTCTGGACTAAATTCTCAAGAGGCCAAACAATATTTTCAAGGCCAACCTGTGTAATGCTCTTCTGCAAAAGCCAGTGACGATCAGCCTGAGCTTGGGAAGGGAAAACCGTGGAAAGGGGCAAAGCTGAGTGTTGTGTTCCACAGTGAAGATCCCTGCTGGGCCCTGCACTGGTGCACTCTGGAACCACACAGCTCCCAGGCTTTGGGATCTCCCTGTTGTCTCATCTTCTGTCTGGCTTCAGGAAACCTCAGGGGCAATGACCATCTCTACCTTTAGTGTTTACAACCTAATCCATCTTAATCTGTTGTTTTGGACACTATGGATGACTCCATTGTCAAATAAAAGCCAAGAGGGATTAAGAAAATTGTGAGAATTCAAAAGGAAAAATAAAAGCAAAAGGGAGAAAAAAAGCTCTTTAGTTTCGACACCTTAAAATACAGCCATCAAAGGAAAAATCTAATTGAAATTGTCAGGGTTTGTTGAAGTCTAAACTTGCTCGATGTTATGAATGTGAAAGAGAACAGTTAAAATTATGTAGGGAATTGGGAAATATTTTGAACTTTCGAAGTTGATTTAAGCTGTATAAATATGTCTCAATTTCATCTGCTGCATTAGGGAACTATTACTGTCAGAATTTCCAGTGCAACAAATTTTAACATTTACAGTTTTTAAAATGTCAACACTTCTCATTCCTATTTGCACAGGGAAGCTTTGCTTTCCAGCACTGTTTATTCCAGACTGGAGAGAGGGTCAAGGGAAGTATCTTCTTTTTTTGAATCAGTTTGTGCCAAGCTGAGGTGAGATTGAGAGCAAAAAAAAAAATTTATTTCCTCCTTTCGATTTAGAGTAGAAATTCTTGGAAAAGCCTGAGAATTGCCAGTTCACAGGATTTAAAGGACATCGAACTAAATTTTAAACATGCATTCAGTTGGATTTTCAGAAATGACAAACTTGTTGGTCTGTCATTACTCTACAACATATTCCTAATTCCCATCAGTTGCAGCATTGAACTATTTCAAGCAAAAGGATAATTAAAATGTCTCATTCACCACTTGCCACATAAAACCAGTATGTTTAGCCTGTGTTAGGCAGGATGTGTAGTTCTTTCTTGCTTAGCAGCTGAGCAGAACTAACCTTTAGTTTTATGGGAAGCAGCAAAGAGACAGAGTGTGAATCAGCTTTAAACTCATGATTAAATCTCCTGAAGCTCAGTTTGGGGGTGCTGGGAGCAGACCTGAGTCCCCCCCACAGCTCCTGGTGCAGCACCATGAGTTCAGGTCCTGCTCTTGCCCTGCAGTGCCAGGTCCCCCAGTGCCCCTGGGTGCATGGCCAGACTGAGATACTCAGCAGTGGTTCCTGCCAAATTCCTGTCCAAAAAAGCTGTTTTGCATTGGCAGTGAAGGTGGTCATGGGGCCCATGTGGGAGGAGCTGGCTTAGGAGTGTTGCAAACACTGAGATCTTCCTCCTTGCCTGCTGTGGCCATACATCCCCTTCTGCTTGTTCTCTG